ACTGTATCGTATCCAGAATATATAAACTCAACAACAAAAACACAATGCAATTAAAAATGGGCAAATCCTTTGGGGAACCTGGCTAGCTCAGTTGGTGGAATCTGTGACTCTGGATCTCGGGGTTGTGAGTTAAAGCCCCACGAAGGGTATGGAGATTACTTAAAATCTTTAAGGGGCACCTGGGTGGCTCAGTTGGTTAAGTATAGGACTCTTGATTTCGGCTTAGGTCATGATCTCAGGGTCATGAGATTGAGCCACATATCAGGCTCTGTGCTGAATGTGGAGCCTGCTTAGGATTCTCTCTCTCTCTCCCCCACTCTGCCCTCCCCCAACCTCCACCCCCACCTGCCCCCCCACATGTGTGTGCTCTCTAAAAAAATTTTAAATAAAAAAAATTTTGAAATCAAATCTTTGAAAAATAAAAAATAAAAGTGAGCAAAGGATTTAAGATTTTACTTATTTATTTGAGAGAGAGAGAGCGTGTGCGTGGGGGGGAGGGGCAGAGGGAGAGGAAGAGAATCTCAAGCAGACTCCCCACTGAGCACGGAGCCCCGACACAGCGCTTGATCTCACTACTCTAAGATCACGACCTAAGCCAAAACCAAAAGTCAGAGGCTTAACCAACTGAGGCACCCAGGTGCCCCAAAGGATTTAAATAGACATTTCCCCAAAGAAGATATACAAATGATCAATAAGCACATGAAAAGACACTCAACATCACAAATCATTTGGGAAGTGTAAATCAAAATCACAATGAGATGTAATTCCACACTCATTAAGATGGCTACTATCAAAACACAGAAAACAAGTGCTGGCAAGGATGTGGAGAAACTGAAAAATGTGTGTACTGCTGGTGGGAGCATAAAAAGGTTCAGTCACTATGGAAAACAGTATGGCTGTTTTTCAGAAAGTGAAAAATAATATTAGCATATCATCCAGCAATAGCACTTCTGGGCATATACCCAAACAGAATTTTTTTTTTTTTTAGATTTTATTTATTTATTTGACAGAGAGAGACACAACGAGAGAGGGAACACAAGCAGGGGGCGTGGGAGAAGGAGAATCAGACTCCCCACAGAGCAAGGAGTCCAATGCGGGACTCGATCCCAGGACCCCCGGATCATGACCTGAACCGAAGGCAGATGCTTAAGGACTGAGCCACCCAGGCGCCCCCTGCCCAAACAGAATTTAAAGCAGGGCTTCAAAGAAATAGCTGCACATCCATATGTCCATAGCAGTATTATTCACAGAACCCAAAAGGTAGAAGCGATCCAAGTGTCCATAAGCAGATGAAGGGATAAACAAAATGTGATACATGCAGACAATGGAATATTATTCAGCCTTAAAAAGGAAAGAAATTCTGTCACAGGCTACAACATGGATGAACCATGAGGACATTATGCTAAGTGGCATAAATCAGTCACAAAAATATAAATTCTCTATGACTCCTCTTGTCTGAGGAACCTCAAGTAGTCAAATTCACAGAAGCATCAAGTGGAACAGTAGATGCCAGGGGCAAGGTAGAGGAGGGTGTTGAGGAGTAGTTGTTTACTACGTAGAGAGTTTCAGGGAAGATGAAAAAGTTCTGGAGATTAGTTGCACAGCAACGTGATACGCTTAACACTACGGAACTAAACTACGTAAGATGGTAACTTTTATGCTATGTGTATTTTACCACAATTTAAAATATTTTTTACTACAACTGTTAAATAAATTTTTTAAAATCCAAAAAAAATTGGGCAAAGTACTCAAATAGATACTTCTCCAAAGAAGATGTACAGATGGCCAACAAAAACACAAAAAGATACTCCAACGTCACTAGTCATCAGGGAAATGCAGACGGAAACCACAATGAGATACCGCCTCATACCCACTAGGACATCGATCAGTAAAAAGGAAAAGGAATGCTGGGGCGCCTGGGTGGCTCGGTCGTTATGTGCCTGCCTTTGGTTCAGGTCGTGATCCTGGGGTCCTGGGATCGAGCCCCACATCGGGCTCCCTGCCCTGTGGGAAGCCTGCTTCTCCCTCTCCCACTCCCCCTGCTTGTGTTCCCTCTCTCGCTGTGTCTCTCTCTGTCAAATAAATAAAATCTTAAAAAAAAAAAAAAAAGGAAAAGGAGTTTTAATGAGGACATGGAAAAACAGAAAGCCTCACGCACTGGCAGCGGGAATTCAAAACATCTCAGCCACTATGGAAAACATTTTCACAGTTCTTCAAAAAGCTAAGCACAGAATTCGCATGTGAGGGAGCTAGTCTATTCCTAGGAACTGAAAACAGGTGTTCAAATAAACAAACAAAAAATTGTACACAAATGTTCACAGCAACACGATTCACAATACCCAGAAGGCAGAACAACCCAAATATCCATCAGCAGGTAAATGCTTAAACAGACTGTGGTATATCCGTGCAGTGGAATGTTATCTGGTCCTAAAAAGGAATGAAGTATTGACGCATGCTAGAACATGAACGAACCTTGAAAACGTACACTAAGTCAAAGAAGCCAGGCACAAAAGGCCACATATTGTATGACTGAATTCACATGAAATACACGGAAGAGGCAAATCCATAGAAACAGAAAGCAAATCAGTGGTTGCCAGGGGCTGGAGGGAGGAGAGAATGGGGTGTGACTGCTAATGGGCACAGGGTTTCTTTTGGAGTGATGAAAAAGTTCTGGAAGTACAGAGTGGTGATGATTGCACACCATGTGAATGTACTTAATTCCACTGAATTGCACACTCCAGAATGGCTAAAACGGAATATTATGTATACTTTACCACAATAAAAAGTTATTAAGGATGTACAAGACTTGCACGACACAATTAAAAGACTTGACCTTATCTACACATACAGAACCTGACAACCACCAGCTGCAGAATGGACTTTCTTTTCAAGCCCACATGAAACATCTAGTAAAATTGTGCATCTGAAGGACATGCACCCAGCCCTCCGTCAGCAGCCTTACTACCTCCCGCTCTGACGGGAGCTGTTTCTGGGGCCCTCGCAGGCGCCACGTTTCTGAGATGCCGAAGAGCCGCCGAGAGCAGAGAGGAGAGCTCTGCTCCCGCGGGGGGCCTCTCGAGAGCTCACAGAACTGCAGCAAGCCCTGGGCTACCTGTGGTCTCCTGAAGCCACAGGAAGTGTGTGATGGGCAATCTGAGATTTAGTGAGGTAAGTAACTTGCCCCAGGCCATACAGCTGTTGTGTGGAGAGATACAGGGGACTCTGACCCAGAACCCTCTCTCTTGATCCTTTTGCAATACTGCCTCAAGAGAGAATGCGGGGATCCTCAAGGTCTATTGGCTGCTGATACCACCATCCTGTCCCACCCACTTCTGCTCTGGGAAGGGGCTGATGTTTCTTTTCAGCCACAGGCAATGATGTGGGGCAAGGGGGTGGGGGGGTGCAGCTAAGGCCCACCCAGCTTAGGGGTATCCGTGGCCTGAGGCGTCACTGGGTAGTGGCTACTGCCGTTCTTAACCATGGAGCAGGCTTTCCAGAACTTGGCACGGCTGCACCTGGGTCTTGAGGTTGCCCTCAAGCTAGGCCAAGGATGGGGCTGGGGGGCAGGGGGCATGTTTAGGGCTCCTTTTGAGGTATGCTAGCAACACCTGCTCTCCATAAACAGAGTGAGCCACCTTGGGAGAACATTAGCTGGTTGATGGGCAGTAGCTCTGGTGACATTCCCATGGAGTATACACATCTTCTCGCGTGTTCCACGCTCAGGCTGCCGACCCAGGCAGACACATGGAAGTCGTCACAGGATGACTCTTTATGCCGAGGTCACCAAGGCTGTCACCCTTCCCAGGCCAGGTGTCCCACTGTACCCAAGCCTGCTGAGGTTGCCATCAGGCTGCAGTCTTCATATTGGTGACCCTCCAGGGATCTGGAGGCTAGGCCTTGGGGCTCTCCATCATTCAAATTTTAGTATCAGTAATGGATACCACTGTTACTCTTATGTAATGACGTTATTCATAATAAAATCCCCACTAGGTGCCAGACCCTGACACCTGGTGTTGTGCATATTAATTCTCTCCGTTCCGCCCAGGACACTTGTCAGGAAATCATTCTTCCCACCTGACACGCAGAGAGGCCCAGTGTCTTGCCCAGTGCCACAGAGCTTCCACATGGAGGCAAGAGTAGGATCTGAAGTTGGGTTTGTCCTAGCTCTTTCTTCCACTCTGTGCCCTGGGCTTTCTTGGTTAACTCCAGAACCAGACTTGCTGGCCTGTTGTCCCCAGGAGTTAATGAGAGATCCCCAACCCAACAGAGGGACTCTGAGCACCACTAGGTGAGCAATGACAGGGCAGTGATTGGTAGGGGCCAGATGAGGTGGTGGGGAACACAGAAGGGGAACATGGAGATGGGGGGTCTGGGCTCACAGGGCATGCACACCACCAGCTACACTTACCACCTGAAGGAGGGCAAGAGAGCCCAAAGAGGGGGGTCCCCGGAGCAGATGGAGGAAAGAAGAAGGAGTTACTGAGCCACAAGCAAACTGAGGAAGCCCAGGGCTGAGAGAATATAGCCTCATAGCCTGGAGCACCCACCTGTCACATCACTGTTTGCCTGGTGGCGGGAGGTCATGACCTACCATTTGATGGGTAGGGGCTGCCTGGGCCAAGGAGGGCCACATTCGAACTTGCAGGACAGAGTAGCCCCAGGAGTGGCTCTTGTAGGTAGGGGTAGAGCATGAGACCTTTTAGCAATGCCTGGAGTCGACACAGCTGTGGGCGGGGGGCACATCTTATCTAGCAGACCCTAATGCCCCTGTGCCTCAGCTGTTCTTACTGTCCTGCTTGGGGGCAGGGACCCAGGCAGATCTCAGATAGATAAAGACAGGGCCAAGTCTAGAAGCCAAGTTGCCCAACTCCCAGGTCTGCTTAAAGAACCATGGCCAGAAAGCAGGTGTCAGGAAGGGGGCTGGAGAAAGGGCGAGCCCCAGGACAACACGGGGTGGGTCAGTGAGAGGGCATGCCCCTGTCCTGCCTCCCCCAACTCACATGTCCGTGCAGGTCCGTGTTGAGCAGCATCAGAGCACAGGTGAGTGTGTGGATCCCATCTGAATCAGAGATGGTGGCACCCTCAGTGTGAGGACCCGGTTCTTCTCCAAACCCAGCCACCCAACTGTCTCCTGACAGAGCCAATCTGGTAGCCTTGGAGACAGGAAGAGGCCAGCCACCAGCCAAATGCACCTCAGGGCCCAGGACCTATGGGATGCTCCCTGCCCCACACCCACCACAGCACCAGAGTCACTTGCCTGCCCCAGGTCAGGGCCAACCCCTCCCCTCAGAAGGGACCTGAGCACCCTGGGCCTGCTATAGGCCAGACTCCTGCCTCCCGTGACCAAACTCAGCTTGACACTCAGACCCGAGAGTGGCTCTGGGTCCTGGACTATGTCCCTACCGTGGCCTGCGTCTCCTCCGATAACTGGCCTCATCCCCCTGGTCCTGGACTCAGGTCCATCCACAGGGAAAGTCCTGCTGCTAAGTGGACTAAGAGGGCCCCACCCCAGGCCTCCACACCAGGACTCCCACCGCACCAAGAATCAGCATCGCGATGGGGACCGGGGAGAACGAAACACCACAAGACCAAATCTAGGACAGAGGACTTCCAGGCAGGGAAAATGACCACAGGCACGACATTTGGAAGGTTTCTTGTCCAGCAAGCAGACCCCATTCCAGGTGCCATAGTTCCTGTATTCCATGTATAGTGAGCAGGACAGAAGTGGCAGTTGGCGGGGGTGGGGGGAAGTCGGGGCCCCGTGGAGCAGCAGGTAGGGCAGGCAGCCATACCTTCCGAGGTGCTGTCCTCCGGGTTGCACTGACAGTATCGGCGGGAGAAGTGCGTCAGGACCCGCTCACGCTCCTGCGTCTCCCCCATCAGCGGGAAGGCCTTCAGGAAGGTTCTGGAGGGCAATTCAAGGATGCTGACGACCTCCAGAGTCCCTGAGTCAGTATGGATCCTCACCCAGGGCAGGAATCCCCACCACCACCACCACCACCACCACCACACACACGCACACACGCACATGCGCACGCACACGCACACGCACCACATAAACCCGCCGGAGGGAGCCAGGGCTCCCGTGCCCCAGCACCTTCCCCAGGATAGCTTCTGGGGTGTGGAGGCTTAGGGGGCTTTAGAATTTCAGCCCTCAATGCCCTCCAGGAAGTAGGCAGGGGACAGAGTGTGAAGAACAGAGGCAGATGAGCCCCTCAGTGCTGCCGTCAGCCCTTCTTCAGGATAAATGCCCACTTCTCTCTCCCTCCTCTCTGGCGAGGCCTGCACAGGCCACACCTGTCCCCCCAGACTGCTCCTCCTCAGTCATTCCTGCTCCTCACCGGATGTGCCACCAGCCAAGGCCCAAGGCCCACCTAGGCCTCCCTCAGCCTTCCCCCACCCCAAGTCCGAACTGCCAGCAACTTGTTCTTCATCCTTGATCTCAAACCATCCTCCTCCTCCGCCCTCATCTTGTGCCCAGCACACTCAGAGCGGCCTCCAGACCTGGGCACCCCTGCACCTCCCCGATGCATCCTCCCTGCAGACACTGAGTGGCCTTTCTAAACACACATGCAGTTGAGACTCACCCTTGCTTAAAACCTGTCATTGGCTCCCCAGAGCACTCAGCATAGCACCAAGCTCCTCCTGCTCTGTCCTTCCCAGGACGTGTTCCCACCACCCTCCTGTCCCTCCAACCTCACCCTCACCTGCCTCCCACACCATATTCACACCCGGGACAGAACAGGCACCTTCACCGCTCCATGCCTCTGGGGAGGCTGAAGCTGTCTGCAAGGACCTTCCCTCCCTTCCTGGGCAGCCCTGCCCCCCTCTCCTGGCCCACTTCAAAAGCCACTGGCTCTCAGGGGCCCTAGGAGTTGACCCCAAAACCACGGGGGCTGGGAGATGGGGCCTAGGCACACTTCTTCTTAGAAAGAAAAACTACAAACTGAGCGAATTTGAGCCTCTAGCTGTCCAGGGTTCCTGAGACGAGTTCATTCCTAATTTCACCATGGTTCATTTGATTTCTGGGAAGCCCACTTCGCTTTATGCTCTCTCATGCTGCTCCTAAGACACCCTGGGCCCTATGAGCCCATCGTGGCCAGCCCTTACCTTCCGAGGCCACCCAAGGCATCCCAAACTACAGACCACGCCCTTCTTCAATCCCGGTCAGTTAACAGCCATACAAAGGCACGCTGTCTGCCATCTAGCCCCCCCTTCCCCGCCCTGGTCTTTCCTGTTCCCTGTTCTCTTCCTCCCATCTGGCACCCAGCTCTGCCCCTCCCTCCTCTAACCACACTCCACTAGGACTTTTTAAAATCCATCCCCCGTCCCAGCCTTGACCTGTCCTATCTACAAATCATCCATCCCAGCTCCCACTCCCCAGTCCAAACATTCCTTCCCCAAGTGTCCTCCCCAAGCCCCAATGCAACACAGCCACCACCAAATTCTGAGGCGGCCCCCAGGGTCAGCCTCACCACTGCCTACCCACTCCCCTGCTCTTTGGCACCACACATCCCTCTACTCGATCCTCTGGATGACCCCTCACACCAGTCTTTCCTTTGGCACCACTGCCCACCTCAGGCCTATCCTCTCCCACCAGACCATCTTCAGAAGCCTGCATGCCTCCAGATCAAAGGCCACCAGCACTACCCCCCAAGATACTGCTTTACACCCAGTACCTTCTCTGGCTCCCCAGTGCCTTTGCGGTTGAGCCTAAATCTACTGGGCTGGCATACAAGGTTCTCCAGCACAGCACCCAGGCCTCTGATCACGACCTGACCCGCTGAACATCTTCTCCCACCACTCTCCCTCATCCCAAAGCAAACTTCAGACTCAGCTCAGGATAGAGCAGCAGACCAACACCTCCCCTGAGAACCTGAGATAAGCCAGACAGAATACATCTCTCTTAAGCTCTCTGGAAGCCACTGGTGCCACAAGGACCACAGGGCTAGACTTCTGGAGAGGAGAGAACTGAGGTGAGGGGTTCATCTATAGCTGCTTTTTCCTTGGGGGCATTGCTGATTACGGGCAAAGGCAAGAGGCAGAAGACTTGGTGGCTTCACAGAGCTGAAGACACAAACCTGGAGACCTAAAGGGACTGTGAATATACAGCCAGTTTTGCCTTTGAGACGTCTGCCAAATTCTGAAGATGTGAGGGGCAGGATGCTAAAAAGCTAAGCAGAAAGCCTCTGAGAAGTAGAGGGACTGGGTTTTGTTTTGTTTTGTTCGTTGACACTCTTGCCACACTGAGGAAACACAGTTAGGATTCGGGACCCACCGAAGGAAGAGGCCCCAGTGAACGCACTAGACCTTCTAGTGGAAAGCCGACGGGGGAACCCCTGAGTTTACCAAACTTCGGTGCAGCCTCTCCTCAGCTCAGCCGTGGTTGGATTAGGAGTGCAACCCCTGCGCCCCTCTAACTGCCTAGCAAAGGACAAGGTAAACCCTCACTGGAGGAAGATATAATAATCTAGAGCCTAATTCTATACAAAATACACAGCATCTGATAAAAACAGTACTGGGTTGCAGAGAGACAGGATGTATGACACGAAACAAGGGGAGAGACAACAAACACAGATACAGAGGATTTCCAATGATACAGATACTGGGATGAGCAGCCTTTGAAATAAGGACTTGGAAATAACTAGGATTAATATGTTCAAAAAGAGAGGGAAAGATGGAGCAAATGAGTGAGAAGATGAGAAATTCCCCCAGAGAATTAGAACCTATTTTGTTTTAATTTTAACAAAATGAAAATTCTAGAACTGAAAAATATAATAAAAAGTAAAAACTCAGTAAGTGGACTTAACAGCATATTAGACACAGAAAAAAAGGGTAAGTGAACTAAAAGCAGGTCAACAGAAAATTTCCCAAGTGAAGTAGAGAAACAAGAATGGAAAATACATTTTTTAAAGTGTAAGAGACATGTGTGTGGGACACAGAAGATCTAACATTTGGGGACCACCCCCACTTAGCTCAGACATCGCTGTCCCCCCCACACCCCGAGGACTGCGGCATGCTGTCTCCTGTGAGCCCTGCCACCAGGGGCTGCTAGACACTGGGCTGTGCTCTATTCCACACAAACACGCACACACACCCCCAGGGCCTGCACCTGACCCTCCTGAAGGCTACTGTCTGCATCCAAACACCCAGAGGACCTGAGGTCAAATCCCATTTTTGCCATCTCCTCCCTCAGTGACTGCAGGGAATCACTTCACCTAATGGCTGGTTCTTCATTGGTGAACAGCAATGATAACACCTACCTCCCAGGGGTGTAGTTAGGCCAAGTCAGAAGGGTGCGGAAAGACCTATTGCCTCTGGCAAACAGGAAGTGCTCCATGCAGGCAAGCCCTTTGCCCTTCGGCTCCCAAAGCCTCAAAACGGTATTCCCACCTTCCTACGCTCAGCCCACCGCAGAGCCAGGACTCACTGGGGCCCCGGGCTGCTGCCGTGCTCATGGCCCCTTCTCTACAGCCTTCCCGGGGAGGGTCGAGACACTCGCCCAAGGTTGCACAAGCAAGTTTATGACAGAGCTAGCATGAGAATCCAGATGTGTGGCCTGTACCTCGTGGGGACACCGCCGCATCCCAGCCCCACTGACCTGAGCGCTCGGTCCAGAGTCAGGCCCGAGAAGTCGAAGAAGCTGAGATACTCCCCGGCCACCAGCCTGCTGAACTCATTGCTGTCAGGAAAGCATGAGGTGTCCGTTAGAAGAGAGCACTGCCACCAACAGGGGCACATGGGCAGTGAGCCCGGGGGGCACCCTGACCCACCCACCCAACCTGCCTGTCCCTAGGCTTGCCTCCCCCTGCCGGCCGGCTGGGCTCTGACGGTCCAGCCTGCCTTGGGTTGGCGGGTCTGGAATGCTTCCGAAAGGAGATAATGTCTCTGTGAAGACAGTGGACCTATAATATAGGCCAGTAAGAGCCAGGGAGGTGAAGGGAGTAGGGGGAGGGGTGATGCAAAGTGTCCCCAGTAGAGGAAACTGCACAAGTCCAAGTAGCTATCAGCAGGGCCATTTGGCCAGAGCCAGAGAGCAGGACCGGTGACAGCACGAGATGAGGTACGGAGCAGGGCCCGAGGGCCAAGGGAAGGATCAGTAGTGTTCGGGAAGGGTGTGAAGAAGGGAGGAGTTGAGCGAGCGGGTCAGATCTGTGTGCGCAACATGCCCACTGAGTGGAGACTCCTGGGGGCTGCAGGGGCGGGTTCCCGGAGAGACAGAGAATTTGGGGAGGGGAGGAATTTCAGAAGCAGAATCCATGGGCGAGGGAATGGTGCAGTGCATGACCCAGGAGGTGGGCCTGGGGGGAGGTGTCCAGAGCTGGACATCAGGTGGGGCTGGATGTACCCACGTGAGAGATGTCAGCTGGTTAACGACTCGGAGGACGGGGATGAGCCCAAGCGAGAGGAGGGTGCAGACCCAGGACGGAGATCAGGGGAAGCCCCTCTTAGGGCGGAGGCCAACTGAGGAGAGATAGGGAGCCACTGAAGGGGACTGAGGAACAGCAGCTGGAGAGAGCTAGGGATGCAGTGTCCCAGAGGCCGAGAGAGAGAGAGAGAGAGAGAGAGAGAGTGTTTTGAGAAGATTGGAGTGATGAATTCTTGCCGGAAAAGAGAATGAATTTCCACCTGAACCTACCCAAGCCCCGAGCTCTCCCTCCTATTTACAGGAGACTTGGGACTGGGGAAATAAGGAAAGTGTGACATAACTCCATGGGGACACCAAATCCAAATCGTGGAAAATTCTTCCTGACAAACGGCTCCATTTCTTCAACAGATACATGGCCTTAAGAAAAAGGAGGCAGCCTGGCAGACTATTGATTAAGAGACATAAGAGGAAAAAGAGAAAGAGAGAGACTCGAGAGACATATTGGCCAAAGGTAAAGCATGTATCTTGTTTGCATCCTGATATGAAGAAGCATTTCTGAGACAGAATATTAAACTAAGACTAAATGTTAGAGATTCTATGGAATTTTCGTCGGTTTTGTTAAAAATTATAATGGAATGATGATTATATTTAAAAATCCTTATCAGTTAGAGACACATACTAAAGTATTTATGGATCAAATGATAGAGTGCCTAAAACATGCCTTAAAATATTCCAGCAAAATGGCGGGGGGAGGGGGAGGGATGTTGTTAACTTTGAAGCTGAGTAATGGGTTATGTGGAGGTTTAATATATTTTTTCTGTTTTTGTGTACGGCTGAAATTTCCATAATAAAAATTTTACTTAAGGAGAAAGAAAGGAGTGGGGTGTGTCTGCGATATTGAGGAGGGGTAAACTGAGGCCAGATAGCAGCCACCGGATTCAAAGACAAAGGCTGCTAACTTGGCCCTGGCCTACACCAGCTGCTGAAGGCAGAGGGTGGGGGAGAAGCCTGCCCCAGGGGCTGAATGTGGAGAGGGGGAGTGGACCGAGGCCACCCAGGGCAGAAAACTCAAGAATTCTGGCTGCCAAGGGGCTGGGGGAGTTGAGGAAGAATTCTTGTTTTCAGATGGGAGAGACTTAGGCGCCGTTAAGTGTTGATGGCTGCTCTCGTAGAGGAGAGGCTGAAGGACTGGAGGGTGCAGATCAACCATAACCTAGGCTCCTGGAGAATGTCATTTGGCTGGGGGTGGGGGACGCAGCCCAGTGGGAGAGGTAGGGCTTTGAAGTCAGATGTGATGTCTGGGCTGGGGCTGGGAGGCAGGCCGGAGCAACGTGGAAGCTGAGAGGGGGAGAGGAGGAAGGGGGGAGAGAAACCAGGGAAGGGGCCCAAGCAGAGCTGGCCTCAGCTTTTTCAGTCAGTTTCGACTTGGGGCCTAGGGGCTAGACTGCCCCTTTGCCTTGAGAGCGGTGACTGCCTCCCCAATCCCAGAACCTAAATGTGGGGATGGGAGGCCCCCTGGAGGAAGAGCAAAGGCAGGTGGCCATGCTGATAGTCAGAAACACTCGGGGTGTGCCTGCTGATTCCCTCAGTCTCAGAGGCCCTGCCTGGCCCCCACCCCACTCCACCCCCGCACCTTCCCCAGCCCTCCCATCTGGCTAGTTCCTTTTCCCCAGTCCCAAGGCCAGGGCTGTGCCTTGGCAGCTTCAGCCCCCTGAAGCCTGAGCCAGTCCCAACAGACTGAGAACGGGGTCTAATGAGGGCCAGGAACCCAGCCCAGGCCCAGGTTCCCCTCCTCCCGGCCCCGCCCCCCTGCTCTGTCCTCACTACTGTCATCCTGGTCCCATAACCCCAGGCCACATTGCACCCCCCAGCCCCGAGGGACCGCCCCGCCACCACCTCCCCTCCCCAAGAGCATGGGCCTTCGCCCAGGCAGCCCAGAAAGGAAACAGATTTAGGGCAAGACCAGGAATGAGGACAGTGGCAGGAGGTGGAGCTCTGGGGGACTACTGGGAGCACCCCAGGCATCAGACCCCCCTCCGACAGAAGTCACCCACACCTCCCACAGGCTGAGGAAGACACAGGGTTTGCTCGGGGTGGGGGGTACGGGAGACGACTCACTTCTTGCCTAGCTGCCGGGCGACGTCACAGCGCTGAAAGCCCTCGAGGTGGTAGAGGCGGCGGGCCAGCCGGCGAGCGGCCTCACTGACCCCCTGGCACCCGTTGGCCAGTGCGTCCGTGCTGCCAGGCTCCAGCCCCTCCGAGCTGCTCAGCTCCGAGTCCGAGTCTGAAAAGCCATCCTTTAGCCTGGGGTCGCTGCACAGGGAAGGTGGGGGCAGAGAGAAGGGGATCAGAGGTCCAAGGTCAGAGCCCAGGAAGAGGCTGGGACATTTCCCCGGGCCTCTGAAAACCCACGCGGGGGCCAGAGCAGGGGGAGAAGCTCCACTGCATCAGGAGGGAATCAAGTCAGACTTTTAGAAGAGCCCCTCAGTGAAATCACTACAAGCTACACAACCCACAGAGCAAACCTCCCGGGCCCCACCAGGGCTGGAAAGGCCTGGAAGGGCAGAATGGAACCTCGGGACCGGGGTGGGGAGTCTGGGTGCAGAGGAGAAGGACACCACGACCTTGGAGAGGGCTTGTTCCTCCGGGCACTGGGTTGCCCTGACCTGCTGTGCCTCCTCTCAGCCTCAGTTTCCCCATCCGCTCCAAGGCCCCCCGGTTCCCAGCCTAGGCTCTGCCTTACCTGGCTGACTTCAGCAACCTGTCTGTGTCCTCCTCTTCCTCCTCCTCGTCCTCCTCACCCCCACCTGGGCCCTGGGGTCCCTCTTCATGGAAGCCATTGGGCACGGCCGTGAGAGACAGGCGGCTCAGGACGTTCTCTGATCGGCTGCTGGAGATGGAGCACCGCAGGGGGCTGCCCAGCGCCCCCCCCCCACCAGCCGCTCCCATGTCCCCCTCAGACCCCATGTCCCCAGTGCCCAAGCCAGCCCCCGGCTCAGGGCTATCACGGGCCCGCTGCTGGATGAGGGGTGTCAGGGGGGCCTCGAAGCTGACGCAGCTGTCACTCTCGTCCGTGAGGCTCAGCACGTCCAGGGAGTCAAGGCTGCAGTACTGGGTGCCCCGCAGCAGCTCTGACTCCACAATCTTCTCAAACGTGGCACTGAAGCCGTCCCGCACATCCGGCTCTCCGCGGCTGCCCAGCCTGTGGGATGCAAGGACCGCTCACTGTCCCGCCGTGCGGCCCCCCGTTACAGGGGCTGGGACGGCGCCAGTCTGTGCCTGGGAGCTCCTCGGGGGCAGGAGCAGGCATGCACTGTGTCCTGTTTATTCTTTCAGCCCATACTTGCTGGGCACTGGGTGCCAGATGCTGGGCTGGCTACTAAGGTACGGCGATGAAAAGAGACAGGCGTGGTCCTCCCCAGTGCCCACCCTGTGCCTGGCCCAGAGTAGGCATCGTTTCTTTGTCTAAAGGAACGAATGGGAGGCCTCTTCCTCCACTGTGGCCCCGGGGGCTCTGCCTCCAGGCCTCCCAGAGCCATGTGGATATCCCCCAGCGCAACTAGGGTCATGCTGGGTCAGAATTTTGCTGTCCCCACAGCCTGGGAGGCTCTCGGCGTGGCCGGCCACACTGCAGCTCTCAGGCTTGGCCTTGATGTCACCTCCTCGGAAGGACTGAGGAAGGCGGGAGCACGTCACCCACCCCACTGGCCCCTCTCCTTGCTCTCCAACCCCAGGGTACCTCCCGACTTCCTCCCAGCCCCTGTCAGCACGCCGCACAGTGTGTTCCGTTTCCCATCTGTTCCCCAGTCCCACCCCCCACAAGACCAGGGAACACCGAGCACACGGTACGTGCTCAGGAAACCCTGCTGAATGGTGCACTGGTTGAACGCACAGATGTTTGTCAGCCCCCTGGCCCACCACACCGCCGAAGCCACTGCAGGGCCCTGGCCTGCCCCTGCAAGAGGCCTTTGGGCTGGCAGGTCTTCGGCCGCAGGGCTCTCCCCTCACGCTGAAGCCCCCCTTCCTCATCCTTTTCTCCACGAGGTCGGCCCTGAGCACCCTATTTATAACCGGGACCCGCCTCCAAACACCTCAGCCCCTTTTTCCTACTTCATTTTTTCCGAAGCACTTACCCCCTCCTTCCTATGTACTACATAATTATTACTTTTATGATTGATTATCTACCCTCCCCCAGACCACAAGCTCCATGACCGTAGGAACTTTTGTACGTTCTGTTCACTGATGGACCCCCAGCCCCTAGAAGAGAGCATCACACGGAGATAAACTGAGGCAGCCCGGGAGGATTTGTACCCGCTGGGGGGACGCACAGGGAGGAGAAGTAAGGAAGAAGACACAGAAAAAGAGCGAGATCAAGAGATCCAGACCTCTGCCCTTGGAGGAGCTCTCATCTCGCTATCAGAGCCATGAATGGTCTCCCTCACTCCACTATCTCCCACCCTCTCATGCACCTGAGCAGACCTGAGAGGTGGTTCTGATAGAGGCTTGAAGACCATTAGCCCAATCTCCAAACTTCCATCTGCCCCCACCTTCAGCCATCTCTAATAAATATGCCACCTAAACACCAACAGTACACTCCAAGAAGTCCCAGACCCTTGACCCACTGCCAGCCAGGTGGCTTCCCTAACACCTGTCTGGATGGAAACACTCACGGCCACAGGATACCTGGTACACACAGGCACCCAGCCTCACGTACTCACATTCCTATCCGCAGAGCTAGCCACACTCAGCCCTAGACCTGGACGTGCAGACCCAAGTGTGTATCCAGAGCTGCACAGGCCAGGCACACACAAACCCCCCCACACACACACACACAAAACCACACAGACCTATGCACATCCACCTGTTCACACATTCCTATATCCACAACAGTGCACAGGCCAGACATACATGTGCATGCCACCTGTGCACTCTTGCTTGTCCAGGCCAGGACCCATAGCTGTGCACACTAAGACTTCTATACACTTTCTTTCTCAGCCCAACCTGAGGTCTTCTAGACATTCACCTGTCCCATCCCTTCCTCCTCATCCAACTAGCACCTCCAAGACATGCAGGTCTCTCCATCTCCTGCTGAGGATAATAGAAATGGGGCTGTAACTCCAGTAAGTAGGACTGAAGTGAGATTCCTGGTAGAACCTCCAGAGGGTACTCAAGTGAGAGGTATCCAGCAGGGATTAATCCACAAAGCCTACTCTTCTGAGGTCAGTTACAGAATTGGGAGAGCTTCATCTCCGGGAAACAGAGGGATGAACCAGATGACCTTCCACATCCAAGCATTTTGGAACTCTACTGTCCAGGCTGGGATGGAGGGTGTGTGGTCCTCTAAACCCACACAGATACAGCCCATGATGGTTTGGAGGGCTTTGGGGGTGGGAGGCACAACAGGCCTGCTGGCCTTTGAAATCTAATGGCTCTATCCTTCCCAAACACCCAGAAGCTGGACAAAACAGGAATATGAAATTCCCATTTTATGGAGGAGAAAAACAAGAACCAGAGAGGTAAGTGGCTAGACCCAGGCCACATAACACTGGAGCAGCCAAATGTAGTGAGCCCCCAACCCAAGGCACCCACTTACCCCAGCTGAAGGTCCTCAGTGTCCAGACAGAGATTCTTGGAAGCATTGTCCCCCTCTGCCAGCCCACCAGCCCTCCAGGGCCTGGACTCTGCAGAATCTTCTAGAATATTTGAGTCTGGCCCCAGGACTAGGCCATTGGTGAAGGAAAGGCCAAGGCTGAGGCCATGGAGGGCCATGTCCGGGCCCTGTGTGGACTCCTCAGTGTCCACCAGAGTGCCCCTCATCTCATGCCCTGGGCTGTTGTAGCTACTGTTCAGGTCCTGACTGTGTGCCATTCCATTCTGGACCCCAGGTTCTTCCTCAGGCTCCAAGCTGGGGTCCCAGGCAGCACCACCTTCCCCAGGTAGTACAGATGGAAGCTTCTCCTCATTCATGGTAGCCGCTACTTCCTCCCCGTGCTGACTGCTCCTGGGACTCCCCTAGATCTGGAGGCGAATGAAGAGATGAAGAGGTGAGTCAGACAGGGCAGGTGCTGAGGGGTCTAAAGCCCAGCAGAACCAGCACCAGGCAACCTGCCTGGGGACAGGAGGATGGCGGAGATGATCTCAGGACCTCCTGGCTGGAATATGGGTTTGGGCTGTGATGTCCTCAGGCAGTAGCCCCGCTCAGGCCAGCCCCACTCACCTCTCCCCTGACCCGCATTCACCCTGTGTGCCCCAGTCCTGCCTTCCCTGTTACCTCTTACGTGTCTCTGTTGTGCCCTCCGGAATCCACCAAGGCCCTGTGAGAAAGATCCAGGTTGGGAGGAGCTAGGGAAGGGTCCAGGACTTCTCCAAACCCCATCCCTTTCCTGCTGGTGTGTGAGGCAGACAAAACTCCAGGCTGACAGCAGCCAGTCCCCTTGTTTCTTTCCATGTTCTCACCCTAACTCCAGGAGCCAGAAAAGAGTGTATCTGTGGGTGAATGGAGGGAACTGAGCTGGGGCTGCCTTTATAGGGAGATTTAAGAGAGGAGGCAAAGAAGTCAACAAAAGTGCAGCTTCGTCAGAACCAAACGCCAACCCAGAGAAACCAACCTGAGGCCCCGTGGCGGCCATCCCCAGGCCCAGCATGAGGCGCTGTCCAGGGTGCTGGGCGGGTGAGGCGCCATCCAGGACCCTCGCCTACAACCCGCGTGCCTTCCCCGCCAGGAGCCCAGCGCCCTGGCTGTGCAAGGAGAAAGGAAGAGGGCCCGGGGTTCCCTTCCACACCAGGGGCCCCCAGAGCTTACCCAGCCTTGAGAAGGGATGCCATGGAGCATTCTGGGGAGAGCACCGGAAGGGGAGCTGGGCCCTGCTCTGCCCGACTCACTGTGTGACCGCCTGTGGGTCCAGGTTGGGCCTCCTTACTGCCCCAGCCAGGCCAGCCCCACTCCCCTCCGCCCTGCTTTGGGTCTGTACCTCCTCTTAAAATGAGGAGACACATTTCACCTGCCATCTCCATCCCTTCTGCCTTTTAAAGCTGATCAAAACCGGCCCACATTTCCCAGAGGCTTCCTGCCCAGATGAGAGGGCAGATGCAATGCGCTGCGTTCTGGCTCCCCCTCAACCCTGTCTCTGGCCCTGGCCCCACCTAATGTAAGCTGTTCCTGCATCACCCCACCCTACCCATGACCTTTGTTATCAGGGATACAGACCAGCCCCTCCAAACAACTTCCTTCCTTCCTTCTTTAGGCCTCAGCTTCCTCCAATACCCCCAGGCTCTTCTGGAGAAAGGGTCCTGAGGGTTCAGGACAGTCTGGAGGAGAGGCACTGGTCAGCCTTCTGGGCTGCAGCAGAATAAGTTGCAAGCCCAGCAATAAGAATCCTTCTTTTACTTGCCTGGTCTGAAGTGTCACCTGAGGGACTTGTTAAAATACAGATTATGAGGCCTTCCCCCAAACCTCCTAAACTAGAATCTATAGGGGTCAGATACAGCACTCTGTTATTGTTTTAAAAAAAAACTTTAGTAAACAGTGAGTTAGACTCCAAGAGGAACTTTCCCCTTAAAGAAGATGAGCCTGGATAGGAAGGTCAGTCTACTTCTCTGGGGGCTTCCAGGCCCTGGAGGGGAGATCTGCCACCACAGGGCCACTTAAGATTCATTTAACACTCAGTTTTTACACATGGAGAAAAGAGGGCAGGGTAAGCAGGGATCTAGGGCCTCAGCCCACCCACCCTGAGCATTTCTCCTAGAGTTTTGAAGAGTGCACGAGTGTAAGATTTTTCAAACAAAACAAAACAAACAAAAGAAAAGAAAACGAAACAACAACAAAATAAGAACATCCACAGATTCAAAAGAACTCTGAAGAATCCAGGCAGTAGACTATCTGGGCCCTGATCCTAGGACACCGGGGACCCCAAGGGGCTCGGCCCTAAGTGAGGGTTTCTTTCTGGTCTGCCCTAAATCCCTGCTGCTGCAGTTGCTATTTCAATCTGTTCCCTCCGGTTGTGTACTCGGAGCGGGGAGAACAGGAGGTCATCTCCTCAACTGAGACTTTGTGGGGGGGAGGATTTCTAAAGGAAAGAGGAGGGAGAGTGGGGACTTTTGGCTTGTTGCCTGAGTTCTAGTCCTCTGGCCTGCTTTCTAGTCCAGGGGCCTGGATGCCCATCGGATCTGGGGCACAGGGCTTCAACCCAATTCCACCAGGGTGCCTCAAGCTCCCACACCACACATGGAGGTTGAACCCAGCAGGACCGAGTGCCTCCCCATTGGCAAGGGCTCTGTCTGAGGTCTTGGTGAAGCCTGAGATTTGAAAGCATAAGTGATTTCCCCTTGTGCTCATGCTACACCAACCCCAAATCCAAGGTTATGAACAAATCAAGGACATCTTGGGAGGCCCCTACCTCACCCCCACAATGTCCAGCAGCTGCCTTGGGCTGGCTCCAGCCCTACCTGCCCTGCCTTGTCCTCCTGCAGCTGGGAGTGAGATAGAGGTTCTGCCAACACCGGGCCCTGGGCCGTTTCCTCAGTTTCTGGGGATGGGCAGACAAGGGGCAGCATTGAGCTCCACTCTGGGCGGGGGGCCCAGAGTCCCTGCCTGGGCTGACGGCCAGCTGAGCCCAGAAATAGCTGAGCCAGGACACCTCCTCTCTTTCTGAGCCCAAGAGAGGGGTGCATAAAGGGGGGCTTCAGGTCAGAGGTGCGAAACAATACCCCAAGCCTTCACTCTGAATCATCATGTGCCTGAGATGCATCGCTGTCCCCTCTGGCCTTTATGAACCCATCTGTAGAATGGGAGCATCACCTCTGCTCTCCTTCCCCAAGGCTGGTGGGAGAGCTTAAGGTCATGAATGCAAAGAAAGCAGAAATCCAAGGAAGAACAAACTCCTACAGAGATCAAGGGAAAAGGCAGCTATGGTCCACTCTTTCCACCACTACACTTGACAAATGGAGAGACTGAGGCACAGAACCAGGAAAGGCTGTGCCCAAGGTCACACAGTTGAGGAGCTGGCTCTAGAACTCACGAATAGCTTCCTTCTGCACCCGGATGGGCTGGAGGTGCAGGATGAGCCCCCAGTTTCCCAGGCCCTCTGTCAGACCCTCCCACAAGATCAAGGGCTCAGATCTTCAACCAGGTGGGCGCCTGGGTGGCTCAGTTGGTTAAGCGACTGCCTTCGGCTCAGGTCATGATCCAGGAGTCCCTGGATCGAGTCCCGCATCGGGCTCCCTGCTCAGCAGAGAGTCTGCTTCTCCCTCTGACCCTCCCCCCTCTCATGTGCT